TCGAAACATATGATTAAAGTTAGATTTTCGATCATCGTTGACGGTCCATAAAGCAGACGAAGTAGTGTTCATCCATTTCCTTCCTACGGTACGTGTCACGGTTGGGTGGTCAGCACTATGCCCCGCCGCCTGTACTTGCTCTAAAGTGAGTCAGAGCTATGTGGACTCTGGGACGTCCTGGAGACTAGTTTTCGGTCCGAACTCGAAATGTTCAGGTTAATAGTCTAGCGTTCTACCTCCCAACCGTAAGTTATGGGTTAGCAAATTATTTTTTCTTATTAACTGAAAATGCACCATGATTATCATTGCTTTAAAAGCTATAAATCTTTTCTTGGTTATTTTCTATTATTTTTGGAACTCTTTGTTGTTAATCAAATTTCTTAAAACTTTTTAAAATATCTATACAGTTGATTCTGATTTTATTAATATCTTCTTCTTTCTTAATTGTAATGTTGGACAGTATTTCCATCAACAAAATTACGTATTACAAGTCAAATTTTTATGCGCCATGTAGGCTGTGGGCTCCGATTTTAGTTCAAAGGTTAGCATCATTTATGACACTTAGTGTGAAAAATAAATTACATATTGTTCTTCTACTTCGTTCTTAAATTTTAGTGTTGGAAGGTATCCGATTCAACACAGATAAGAATACGTGTCAACTGGTTATGCTCCATTGAGGCCATTGACTCTGATTTCTGCCTGCTTTTCTTTTTGGATTTGCTTCCATAGCCTTTGTCTATCCAAGAACAAACTACAAGACAACAGTTGTTTTCATTTAAGAGTTGTCTCTCCTATATGGACAGCTGTCCCCAGCTGTCGATCCTCATCTGCCCGGGTGTTCAAACACTAGACTTTTCGGTTTAGCAGCCACGCCGACCCCTTTTCATGAAAATCGATTACCATAAACCTTTTCGATCAGAAATGTCTGCTTTTGAGGTTGACTAACAAGAAAAATCAAGATTTCTAAAGTCTGTTTTGTTGTTGTTCTAACGCATCAATTATTGATCAGCAGATTCCGTTTATTAGCCTGTTTTGATGTCAACGGGTCTATAATCCGAATACCGGAAAACATGAGTTATGCATAAAGCAGGGGTCTCCAAACTTTTCAGTCCGAGGGCCGCATTAACTATAAAATTTTAGTTCGGGGGCCAGTTTCTTCCAGGCATGCCTTTGATTTTTCTGGGCAAAGTTCCTCAGCCATCACCACAAACGATTTTTCCTTGGACAAAAAGATCTCCGCGAGCCGGATGAGAGGACTTTGCGGGCCGCATCGGGCCCGCGGGCCGTAGTTTGGAGACCCCTGCATTAAAGGAATAATTGCTGCCTCCATCATCTCTACAGTTTTAATCTCTGTTATGACTAGAAATAACTTTCAATTTATTCTCACAACTAACCAAAGGGGCGATAGAGTAGAGAGTTCCCCATCTGATCTGACGGACTATGGGCAAGTGGAGTAGAGTTCACCTGTTTCTGTGACCTCGGCATATAAAGAGATAGTGTGGTCAGCACTATGCCCAGCCGCCTTTACTTTCCCTAACGTGAGTTAGGTACCTATCAGAGTTGGGTGGACTCAGGCACGGTCTACTGAATTGAACCCGGATCGAACTCGAGACTTACGGGTTAGCAGTCTAGCCTCTACCGCTAGACCATTCCGTCCAAAGGGGCGATACTCGGTTAAAATTGTTAGCCTTTCTATGGAAATAAACGGCGACCAGTGTTAAAAAAAATTAATAATTTATTCTCTATTTTATATATATAGAAAATGAATGTCAATGGGGTTTAATTGGAAGACATTACGATTTTTTCTCATAGTTTTGCAATTAAAAACTAATTATTATCAACATTCTGCAGTAATATTTAGCACCTAAGCATAAATGTATATCGCTTAAATATACGCTAAACATTAAGGCAGGCACAAAAGAATAAAAAAAATAAACAAAAACATTTGTTTTAATTTTGTGTATTCAGCCGTCTTGTACAAAACAGATAAAGAAAGATAACCCGGTATTTATTATTTCCGCGGTAAGACGTTCTTTTTAAACTCCCCTTCGTAATTCCCCGCAGGCTTGTAGTTGGCCACGAACTTGTACATGTTATCATCACCTTTGACGGACGAGGCGCCGAACCCTACGTAGGCCGTCTCCACCCAGACCAGCTGAGTGAAGTGACCTAAGGATTTGGATTAGAAGGTTCTAGATCTCTTAATGAGTACTTAAGGTATGAAAAAATAATTGAAAAGCTCATTTTCGTCAATTTTCTGAATGCGAATTGTGAAAAATTAAAATTAAAAATACTACATAGTGTCAAGGATAATAATTTTGATAATGTTAATGATGGCGTTGAGAAAAAAAGATGCTGATGGCGATTGATATTTTTGAAGATGATGACGAAGAAAGATGATGACTATCAGTATGATGACTGAGAATGCTATGGGAGTAAGGGGGTCGTCCATAAATGACGTCATATTCATGGGGAAGGGTGGGGGGTCCGTAAATTTGTGACGGTGTGTGCTGATGGGGGGGGGGGGGGGGTCAGATGGTGTGACGTCACACTTTTGCTTTATGAAAAAGCAATGTTAAAAAGCGAATTTTAGCCGTTATTTCGAGCGCTTTAGAAAATGGTTTTAATAATTTGTAATAGAAATTGATTAAAGTACTCTATGTTTGACAGAGTTCCGACATAATTTTGGAAAAAAAATATAGTTGTTTTAAGAAAAAGTCAAATGCATTTTTGAGGGGGGAGGGGGTATTGTAGACTAAGGTGTGACGTCAGTGTAGGGGGGGTATGGCTTTATGTGACGATGTGTGACTGAGGGGAGGGGGGGACATTTATGGATGACCCCATCCCCCCCCCCCCCATGATGATGATAATCTTTTCACAACGAACAAGCGGAAGATGAGTAAGAAAGACAGTGACAATTTTTTTTACAGGTGTAGACAGGTGAAGTGTGACGTCATCGACTGACCGGTGTCATAGCTGAACCCGGGCTTCGCGAAGTCGTAGTCTTCTACCTCATCATACCACATCTTGACTATCTCTTCACCTGTGGGGGGTCAAGGTTATGACGTTAGTTACTTGACCCGCGACGGGCTAAAAATAAAACTGTGTTTACAATGTTGACTGCTAAAGATTTCTGTTGTTGGGTCTTTGAGAGAATCGTACAATAAATATGTGAAGACCAAAATTAGGGACTTACAATAATCATCTATTTAGAAATTTAGAAAAACGCATTCAATCTCACTCAGAGATACCATATATATATATATATATATATATATATATATATATATATATATATATATATATATATATATATATATATATATATATATATATATATATATATATATATATATATATATATATATATATATATATATATATATATATATATATATATATATATATATATATATATATATACATATATATATTTGTATATGCCCTAAATAAAATTGAAAAAAAAATAGTAAAGAGTTTATAACAACCTTTAAAATAAAGACCTATAATCGATGGATATCTAATAATCTATACTATAAGGAACTTAACTGACTTTGGAGAGCTACAAAATCAGAATTTATTATTTTACGTACACTGTGCAATGAAGATACCTACTCGGGATATAGTGAGCTAGAGAGGGGTGAGAAAGAGAGACAGAGAATCTAATATATAAAGCTCAATTCTGTATGTAACACATCTTCATTGGATTTAAGTGTTAGATAATTAAAGTCCTTATGGTCTAAATTTATGAGTTAAAAAATTAATATTGAAAGTTTTGGGAAATAATTTTCATTTATCAAACTGAAAGTAATAACTTTCGGCATGTTCATTAAACACAAGTTTTAAAAAAATATCATCTTTTACAAAAATTCTAATTATGTCTTTATTTAGTCCTATAGCACTTACTTCCCTTTGATAAATTGGGAAAACACAATTACTTCCCTTTATAAAAACCATTGCATTAGTGGAAAAGAATTTACTTTTTATTACTTTGTTTTGGTGTTGGGAAAAAAATAATTACATAATTAGCGGGGATTGATCAAGTGCAAATGTTCTAGTTATTTTACGGATAAGCTTGGAGTATTATAATTGTTCATTAAATTGAAACAGGCGCGTTCGTTTAAGTGAGTGCAAAAGACTATGAATAAGTTGGGGTACTATAGTCGTTTATTAAGCTAAAACAGGCGATTCCGCCCCGGGCTAGACTGTGAGCACTTTGCGTTTATGTTCGCGTTAGTGTTTTCTTTGTGTTTAGGTTTGGTTTGCGTTAGTGGTTGCGGTTTGATTTGGTTCGTTTTTGTTCTTTCTTTTTTCGTTTTTTTTTGTGTTTTTTTCTTTGGGTTTGTATTTGTGTTTTTGGTTGGTTTTGCGTTTGGATTTGGTTTGTTTTAGTTTGCTTTTTCGTATTTTTTGTGTTGTTATTGATTGGTATTGGTGTTTGTGGTTGTGGTTGGGTTTGTTGTTAGGTTTTTGTTTTCGTTTGTATTTATAATTGTGTTAGCGTTATGTTTGCGTTTTGTTGTTTTGGTTTTGGTTGGTTGTGGTTTGGGTGGGCAATGCCGGGTTTATGATGATTACTAAACACACGGGTAATTGTCTTTAACAATAGGTTTTTCACAGAAGCCAGAGCAGGGCCTGGCCGGGACGGCTAGTAACTCTAAAAGAAAAAAAAAAAAAAACATAGAATGGGAGATTACCACTGATGAGGTCACTATGTGCCGCGATATTCTCCCCTGCACCGTCCCGCTGTTGCACATCGCTGTGTTTCATCTCCCCTATCTTAGCCAGGTGATCTGCCCATGTTTGAGCCATACGACACAGCTCATTGCTTTATAAAAAAAGTAACCAATAAATTATTACAGTTTTGATTTTTAGGAATTTAGGATGAAAACAAACTAAGTGATTAGTTCAAATTACGAGAGAACTAGTATATTTCAAGATGTATTTTTTTTTCGTGTGTGGAGGGGTTGGGGAGGGAGTTTAAATCATGCACTAAATTTAGAATGTGAAAATATTTATTAAAAAAAAATTAAAAATTAAAAAATAATAATATTAAAATAAAAACTATAACAACGTAGAAGATACTATGAATTTTTTTTTCTTAAATCCGTGATATTTTTCTAGATCAGCCTATAATCTGAGTTAATATGTCCAAAGTATACAAGATATTACAGCACCAAAGTATACAACATATATTACCACACACACTATTTTGTGCGTACTTAGGTTGCAAGTATATGCAAATGGTATTTCATGCTTACCTAGCTTTCGTAGTATTTTCAAAGGGTATTTTGTTCTTACTTAGGTTTCGTAGTATATGCAAAGGGTATTTCATGCTTACCTAGCTTCCATAGTATTTTCAAAGGGTATTTTGTTCTTACTTAGGTTTTGTAGTATATTCAAAGGGTATTTCATGCTTACCTAGCTTTCGTAGTATTTTCAAAGGGTATTTTGTTCTTACTTAGGTTTCGTAGTATATGCAATGGGTATTTCATGCTTACCTATATTTCGTAGTATATGCAAAGGGTATTTTGTTCTTACTTAGGTTTCGTAGTATATTAAAAGGGTATTTCATGCTTACCTAGCTTTCGTAGTATTTTCAAAGGGTATTTTGTTCTTACTTAGGTTTCGTAGTATATGCAAAGGGTATTTCATGCTTACCTATCTTCCATAGTATTTTCAAAGGGTATTTTGTTCTTACTTAGGTTTAGTAGTATATGCAAAGGGTATTTCATGCTTACCTAGCTTCCATAGTATTTTCAAAGGGTATTTTGTTCTTACTTAGGTTTTGTACTATATGCAAAGGGTATTTCATGCTTACCTATATTTCGTAGTATATGCAAATGGTATTTCGTTCTTACCTTGGTTTCAGGGGTGGCGCATTGTGAAGTTCTCTAAATTTGTTGTGCGCTTTTAAAACGTCCTTTCTTAACGCTGCCACGTCCAACTCTTTCTGTTGTTGAAGGAATACGAGTTTAACAATAAGGAATTGAGGAAATTTGGCTTTAATAAAGATAAGTATATGGGACGGAGTGGTCTAGCGGTAGAGAGCTGGACTGCTAACCCGTAATTTAAAGACTGATTAAAGTCAGTACACTGTCCTTGAGTCCACCAAACTCTGATGGGTACCTAACTCACATTAGGGAAAGTAAAGGCGGCTGGGCATAGTGCTGACTACACTCAGAGGCGTAGCGTGGGGGCGGGGGATGCGGGGGGATGCGGACCGCACCGGGTGACACCATTTAGGGGGGTGACACCAAGGCAAAAAATAGCAAAATATATAGAGAAAAACTTGAGGGGGGTGCAAATCGAAAGTTTTAGGGGGGGGGGGGGGGTGCAAATCAAAAATTTGAAATTTTGTCGCTACGCCTCTGGGGGTGACACCATTAAGTGCCGCACCGGGTGACACCCGACCTCCGACCTCTCTACGCCACTGACCACACTATCTCTTCATATGCTGAGGTCACAGAAACAGTGAACACTACTTCACTTGCCCCATAGACCGTCAGTTTTGAAAGGGAATCTTTACTTTTTTTAAGATAAATATGTGGAAAGTTGTCTCAACATACCCAATTGATGATAATAATTGTTAACAAACGTCAATAAATGCAATGTATCGTCAACAACAATCAACTGATTAAACAGAATATATCGATTCACATTTAATGTTATGAAATAGAAATGGATTAAATGGGTCCTACATCTTTAACAAACAAAAAGTTATTAAATGAATCATGTTATTAAAAACATGATTTATCAAATATATCAAAACAAATATAATTGATAAAATATATCGTTAAAAAATAAAAACAAAAAGAAATTAATGGAAAAGAATATTGGGCAACATTTTGAAAAATATATTCCAGTAGTAAAAAAAAACAACGTACGATTATATGACCAGTTATCAGCATGAAACATTTATTTATGTGTGTTAAAAACATTACAATAGTTTGTCATAGGAAACGAAATTTAAAAAAAAAATATTGCATCAGTAGTGGCTCATGAAACACGGAAGGTATTCGTAGCGACGCCTCATTCTGCAGGGGGTAGGGCTGGGCTTCTTCTGGTCTGTAGTGATGTGGAATACAAATACAAATTTAAAAAATATCTCTTTATATCAATAAGCTTTTCAATATAGTGAAAAATTGTTTTAGAAGTCATATTATTTACTCGCTTTAGTAAAAGTAACGGTCGTTAAAAAGTAAAACGTGTATGAGATTTTGTCAACGAACTGTGCGTTTACAAAAGGGATCGAACGACCTATGGCAAACACTGATGCATTTAAAAATTTATTATTGTAAATGTTGTATAAATTTCTTATATTTTTTTTTTACTTTGGAATTATTTATTCTTAAGAAAGCTATTACGATTTGCTTTAAACCCCGATCAATAGGCTAGCTCGTAAACTGCGGAAGTTAAACAACATCTCCTTTGTCGACTCAAAGTCGAGAAACCATCTATTTAATTATTTATTTATTATCTGAGACAATTAAAATGCATAAATCATTGCTTTGTTTAAAGAGAAGGAAGTATCTTCAAAGTTAAAAAGAAATCGCTGCATTATAGGAAGGAGCAAAAAAAAAAACTGAGTTATAAGCTTTGCCACAAACTAACAAACAGTCATTGTGAACTACAAAAAACTTTTAAAAATAGAGGAAGAAAAAAAAATCATATTGTTTTATTTACTCAAAACATAAAATAAGCTTTTATTCTAAAATTGTTTTTAGATTATATTTTATTTTTACTTTCTGGTGTATGGAGTCTAAGAAGTAAAAAACCTAGTGTCAAAAATCGAGTTCAAGATTTTGACCCATCTCGATGAGTTACAGTTACACAGTGAGTTCGAACTTGGGGCATTAGGGTCACCAAACAATAGTTACTATTTCAATAAATGTGGGTTGCTGGGACCATGCAATTTTAATTGAACCGATATCCGAACATACGCTACAATCGAAAAATGGTCATAGGGGGCGTTCACCTCTAACCCCCCAGAGGCGTAGCGACCCTTCCCGGCACCCGGGGACAAACACTTTGAATTTGCATCCCACCCCCTCAAACTTTCGATTTGCACCCCCCACCCTATATATTTCTTATATTTATAATGCAAAAATGCAGCCAAAATGATATTTTAATTTGTTTTTCCAACACATTTTGGCACCCCTAAGTTCGGCGCCTGGGGACATATGTACCCCGCCCCCCCCCCCCCCTTCGCTACGCCTTTGACTACGTCTCTGATTTCTATAGCAATATTTAAAAAAAAATTAAAATCAAACATCTAAATATGTTAAAATATGTTAAATTTTATGCTAAAATACATCGTCATAGTCTTAACCTACCTGTCAAGTTTTAAAAAAAAATCGGTTCGGTAACAGTGTGCGAAATTTCTTTCATAAATTTTAGACCCATGACGAACGAAGCAAGTACAAAGAGATAATCCAAAAACACGAAGAATCAAGTTAAATACCATCTTATTAAAACAAATAATATTGGATATCTACAAGCATGTGAATATATAAATAAAATTATACCTTTACTTTGAAATGTTACCCATATTAATTAAAACGAATAATTTGTTTTAAATGACTCAGTGCAAATTGAATATCATTAAAGAGTTTCCTTGAATTTCCTTTTTTGTTTACTTTGATCGCAGTATCTCGCGTCGGGTATGCTATGGATAAATCAAGCTTACACAAAGATAAAGTAAAGAGTGTGTCTGCCTTATTATTCCCCCAACCATTATAGTTAGCTGAAATGTAGCGAAAGAGATTCCGGAAAATCAAGGTCTGAGATAGGTGTATATAGTATTGCTTTATATCAATCCCTACCTAATTTTGATCATTGTAACAAACTGATAAATCACGCCCCCACCCCCCTCCACTCTCATCTACAATCTACACTAATATTTTACTTTTTTCATGATCTATAACAAAAATTGAAATGATAATGTTTTTTTTTTAAATGAGACAAATATAAGGTGTCTGTAGCAACCGTATTAACAGTGGCGTCACAAAGAGGGAGGGGGTAATTGGTGGTGGTGGGGGGGGGGTTCCGGACCAGGTGACACCCGACCTAGTGACGCCACTGAACGTAAACAAAACTGTGGTACTTACATCAGGCGTCGTAGATCCTACACTCTGGCGTAAAGCAAACAGAAACAAAAGAGATCGGGTTAAAATATGGTAAACAAACACAACAACAACAAAATAGTAATCTATATATATAATTCTCTTTTTGGAGACGTTAGAAAACACCAAGCTGTAAGCGCGCCTAGCAGTCCCCTCTCTTCCTCTCTAGGCATATCGCAACCACCCCCATCCCCACATGGTATGGTGAGCTGTGGTTCACGCTAAATGTTTACAATCGTAGAGACTGATTTAGTGACGGCTATCAGGGACAGATAATTTGGTTTGAAACCATTTTAAACTTAGGGGAGGTAACTAAGAGGAGGCTGCTTTCACGGGGGGGGGGGGGGGGGGAAGGAGGGTTTTAGTGTTTTAAATCAAATATTTTTAGTGACAGCATTGGTACTGTCGAATTCACAAATTATAAATTACTGGAAAGGAGAAAATAAAACTAAATAGCGGCGTGTGATGCGCAGCGGGTCGGCTCGTAATTGTTAAAGAGTTTCGTTAAAACACTAGGCATAAAAACATATCATGCCGAACCGCCTTGAAGATTTAAACCTAATCTAAATTCCTAAACTAAGTCAAACTAAACCTTTATATAAAATTAAATCGCACAATCTTAAATTGATATTAACTATGTGTTCGAGTGGTAGAAAGCTAGACGTGTAAAACATGAATCTAAACTTTGATTTAGGACCCGAGTCTAAGCTAAGCTAAATCAGACTAAACGTTAAAGTTCCATTTTCGAACCTGACAGAGCATAGGACAGGTGAAGTAGAATTCACCTGTTTCTGTGACCTCGGCATATGGAGAAATAGTGTTGTTAGCACTATGCCCAGCCGCTTTTACTTTCCCTAACGTGAGTTAGGTACCTATTAGAACTGAGTGGACTCAGTGATATTCTGCTGATTTGAACCTGGATACGAACTCGAGACTTTAAAGTTAGCAGTCAAGCGCTCTACAGTCCTTTTTGTCTCATAGTTTATACATACAAACTGTATATTATTTCTTAAGATCCTAATTACTATTTTAAACATTTGATAGTTGATATCTCGTAGGATTTTTTTTTTTATGTTTGTGTTACTCTCACATAGTCTGTTGATACCTCCCATTACCCCAGCGTGTTATGCTTGCCGAACCTTCGCTTTTACATCATCACATAACTACCCGTGATCCTACTTATATCCTTGGCCATAAATCTTGCATTACACCCAATACATATATACCACTGATTCACCTAAATACATAAAGTTCAAATTTCAAACCTGAAGGTCGATCAGCCAAGTGAAGTAGAGTTCACCTGTTTCTGTGACCTCTGCATATGGAGAGATAGTGTGATCAGCGCTATGCCCAGCCGCTTTCCATAACGTGTGTAAGGTACCCATCAAAGCTGGGTGGACTCATGGGTCGTCTACTGACTTGCGGATTCGAACTCGAGCCTTACGGCTGTAGCAATCGAATGCTCTACGATTCGTTCACCTACTTATATGCTTGGCCATAACCCTTGCATTAAACCCAACACCAGCACAAATCTAACCCGAATCGTAACCTTATCCATAAAATGTTCACACATATAATTAGGCATTTTATCCCATTCGGGCAATCTTCAACTCGGGATATAAAAAAAAAAACCTCAGGCAAACTCCATTCGCGCAAATGTCTATCTTACACAGCGTTTACACTTGCGACATGTATACTAAACGCGTCTAGAAAAACAAAACTTCGACATTGGTTAAATTCATCAGAACATCTATAAGTGGCTACTCACTTATTGCGAAGGTTTATTTTCTATACATGTATAGTATACATGTCGCAGGTGCAGTGGCGTCGCTAGGTTGGGTGTCACCCGGTGCGGTCCGCAACCCCCGCCCCGCCCTCGCTACGCCTCTGTGCTGGTGTAAGCGCGGTGTTACATTTATCTTAGATCCCTCAACCACCCCCCCCCCTCTTCAACTTTTCGTAACGCGCTCAGGTTTAAATTTCAAATCTTCTTCTTCTTCTTCGTTCTTAATTTTTTAGTGTTGGGAGGGATCGAGCCTTATCTGCCAGAGAACTCGAGAATTTTTTTCGAATTTTTATCAACCATGGGCTTTTGCCGAAATTTCAAATCAAATCGTCATGTAAAGGACACGATGTAATCATTACACTTACATCTCCTGACGAGCCTTCGGAAGACGATTCAGAAGTCGAAGGCGGAGTGGTGTCCTCGGGCGCTTTCGTGCTGGTCTTTTCCGTGTTCTTTTTGCTCGGCGCCTTCTGTGTCGGGGTGGGTTTGGGGTTGGCTTTGGGGTTGGCTTTGGGTTTGGCTTTGGGGTTGGCTTTGGTGTTGGCTTTGGGGTTGGCTTTGCCCTTGGGCTTCGGCTTGGTCTCTTTAACCGCCGCCTTCTCCTCGGAGATAACTTTCGGGGCCGCTGGGGTCGTCTCGTGGGACGGGGAGGAAGGTCCCTTGCTTTGGTAGGTGTCATCGTCTTGAAAAGATGCCGGCTGATACTCACCATCGGATTCGATTTCGTCTACGTCATACTGTCAGTGAAAGGAGAGGGGGTGGGGGTTGAATTAATTCGGTTGTGTTGAAGTTGTTGTCAATAAATGACGTCATATTTTCTATAAATAAAACATCGCCGTCGTATAGAAAAACACATGTAATGTTGTTTGTTTTTTTGTTATATGAAACGTACGCAAATAAAAGTAGGCGTTAAGTCGACTAATATCATTGTAGCCATACCGTATTGTTAGAAACAGGTAGACAGGCAGCAATTAGAGTCATAGTTTATTTTCAAAAAAAAAGGTTTTGTTGTCTGTGAGTTTGAGTGAATGTGTGTTTATCTTGGGCACGAACTTTAAAAAAAGATGATGATGGTGTGTAACCGTGTGTATGAAAGTATCTGTGTATGTGTGTGTATGTGATGTTTGTTAAAAATTGGAAAAAACCTTTATTATTGGTAGTATGTGTTACATCTGCAGTCACGTTGCAACTAAAATATTTTAACACAACTCATTAGTATAGTTAAAATTAGCTACTTATATGCCTGTTCATTTAAGAATCCACTATAAATAACATCACATTTTTTTGAACTACATACATCAGATACTATATTCAAGTAAGAATACAAAGTATCTTATTACAACAAAATTATAAAATCAACAAAAATAAAATAAAAACAAATAAATTTTAATGGAAAGAAAGCTTAATAAATAAATTTAAAAAAAAACAGCCTGTAACACAATCTCATTATTTGTAACGTGAAACAACAACGACTTATACGATGCTGTGTGAACAGATGTCAACACATCGTACATGTTTCTTTTTTACTTTATTTAATTCATCTAACAAGATGTACTTACACTGCTTTCAAACTCTGTTTTACTTATACC